TACACAGTCCACGTCAATGCTCACGGAAGCAGCAGTCAAGAGATCATAAGATGTGTGGCATTAGGGTAATGAAAAGCAAGGGTGTTATTTGGAGGACTAAAGGGCGCCTGACCCAAGGCCTGTATTTCCCAGTGCTCACATGCAGGTGAGCACTGAAGACTGCAGATGAGCAGCTGCGTCTGAACTGCGGTGAAGGTAGCCTGGACTGCGACAGGGACAACCCGAACTGTCCTGCCAGTTCAGCACAGCGAGGCGTCACCTCACACACTTTGTTAGCAGGAGACACCAGTCTCTGGGGGAGGACACTGTTTGCTCAAGTGGAGGGGCATCAAAAAAGCATGGGCTCAAGGAGATGAAAGGACACTGTGGCTGAAACAGTGGGCTCAAGCACAGGGGCAGTGGAGAGGAGGGCACAGGGCTGGGCAGGGTTTGCTTGTGTTATGCATAAGATCACTGTGAGCAGGAACCCACTGCACGGCTAATAACAACAACGGGGGCTAAACTCCTTCCTCCTTATTTTCATGCCCCCGTGAGTACAGGTAAACCCACCCACCTACATCACACTCTCAAACAAACTCTGTAGCCCTCACGCCCTTCCACTCTCGTGCCTGACGTGCTGATGAGCCTCTGACGTGCCCGCAGCCTTGGAAACACCCCGCCCACTCCACCACTGCCATCAGGCTGGTCTGTTAAACAGCACCTCGTGTCTGATCAAGGCAGAAGGGAGTTAAGTCCCCGCCCACTCCACCACTGCCATCAGGCTGGTCTGTTAAACAGCACCTCGTGTCTGATCAAGGCAGAAGGGAGTTAAGTTCTTCAAATGGCTCCCAAATGACCAGAAGGCTGAAATGGCCAATCCTTCATTTACATGGTGCAATCCCTTTGCTTTATTTTATTAAATACATTACCCACTTTGCACACAAATCTCACTGCCATCTAGTCAATTCTAGAACTGCCCCTGTGGGCTTCTGTGACTGTTAACTATTTTTAAAGACAATAATTTTGTTGGCACATCCGTTACATATCATACAATTTAATCATTTGATCATAGTAAGATTTGTGCAGCTATCACCACAATCAAATTTCAGAAGTTTCTTCTTGTACTCGTTGGCTCCATCTTCCCGCCTTGCCCAGGCAATGACCGATCCAGTTACTGTCTCTATAAATCTATCTACCCTAGATTTCACATACAGAAACCATACAAAACAGCCAGGAAGCAAGCCAAGCCACCAAAAAAAAACAACGATGACCAAACAAAATGCAGGTAAACCTCAATTGAAAAGCAGAAAATATTAAAAATGTAAACAACTTTAAGATGAGTCAAGAGGGAGATTAAATGAGGTGTTAAATTTTAACCTAACCGTCATCATCAGCTTTACAAGGTCCTTTATTTGACCGCTATGTTATCCACATCCCTCTACCAGGGCCAGAGTGGATTCACTAGAGGCTTAATCCATGAGTGGATGCTTCCAATGGACTTTAGGCTTCCACTGTCAACCAGAGCCTCTGCAAAGTGGTTGTCCCAATTTAAGCTCTGATATCACTACCTCCTTTAGCTTTGGGTTTCATTATTGACAACGTTTAGACCACACGGGTTGGTGTGCTTCTTCCATGTGAACTTAGTTGACACCCTGCTTAGATGGCTCCTTGTTATAAGCAAGCCTTTAAGACCCCAGACACTATCTAGTTTCTTCACTCATATTTTAAGCGATCTCTTTACGAGGGCGCGCATTGAGCAGGGCCACATTATGAGAACTATTTGTTCTTAGATTGGGGCTAGAAGTTGGAGCCCAAGATCCATTCATGTATCCATGGCTTATATATGTCTCTGGTTCAGATGGCCAGTGCCACCAGCACAGGGCAGAACACAAAGCTGCTGTTTACAGGAGGGCTTTCACGTAAGGCTACGTCATGAATTCCAGCTTCTTTGGCCCACAGGCAGTACTGGTGGCACAAGTCTGGGCTGCCAATCGCACCAGCAGTCGGAAACCACCAGTCCCTCCATGGAAGAAAGCGGCTTTCTGCTCCCGTAGAGATGTGCAGGCTCTGACACCGACAGGAGCAGTTCTACCCTGTCCTACATGATCCCTAGGAGTGGACACGACTCGACGGCAGTAAGTATGGTTTTGGGATCTAGCCCAGAGTAGACATTCATTGAATATTTTTATTACAACAAAAAACTACCAAGTGTATGTAAGGGAAACATCTGCATACAAATGTGTCTCTGATATTCCTGGGTCATATTTTTTTGGTATTACTCACTAAAATGAATATTTATTTGGTCATAACATTGTGTTTGGTGGTTCCATCTACACTTACTTCCTAACTAATACCTTGGGGTGGGAAGAGCAAGCTATTCTCAGCGTACTGCATTACGCAAATCGCTCTCCGGGTCCTAAGGCACGGCTGACTCTGACTGTGGACTATGACCAACGTGCTGCCCCTCGAGCGCAGCAACTGGACCCGAGGGGACCCCCACCGTCCCCACATGAAGTACTAATTACCTGCTGAGATCCGCCCAAGCACACCAAAGTTAACCAAGCACGCAAAGTTCAAGTTCACATGGTCTCAGCTATAAGGTTTGCTGACTTTCTATCTCTAAGATCAGAGCACGCGCGAGTGCCTTTGGAGACTCAACAAGGAAAGAAGCCCATCAGAGCCCTCCCTGTACCTGCTGGTAGAAGAAATGCAGCGTTGGCTTGTCTTCTGTGAACTGCTGCAGAAATTCTTCCGGCAAATAACGAATCCTCAGTTCATACCTAAAAACCATGGGAAGTGCATTATTTCTTTTCATTCATCACTGCAAGTACAATATTGTCAATTACTAGGAAACAGGATTTTAAAATAGGCACAAGGAATACCCACTACGTTTTCAGCCTCAGCCTCATCTTCCTCACAGAATCAGGCTTTTCGATTCTGATGTTCAGTGACACCCAGTAGCCCTCCCACTCCCAGTCACCCTCCGCCAGAGCCTGGCTCCACCCCCCCACCCCCACCCCGTCACCTTCCTCCACC